GTAGTTGGAGGGAGAACGCAGGAGTCAATAATCCACTTGAACAGTCTTTAATACAAACACGCAGGGGAAATCCAACATAGGAAACTTTCGGCAAACTTACGCAAACAAACTAGTAACTTAGTAGACCAGATGACGAACTAAGGAACAGACACAAACTAATATACACAGGATAATTACAAACACAGGTGAGCAGAATAATCAATCAAATAAACAGGAACAGGAAACATGACCAAAAAAGGAAAACAGGAAGTAAGACAGAGGTAAAACAAGGAAACACAGGTTCATAACACTGACATTATTTGGGGTGGGACAAAATACGTCAAAAAATATGTCTTGCAGATGTAAATGCAGACGTCAAATAGACATCTCTGTGATGTAGGTGTGCTATCCAGGTATTTAGAACGCCTTATTTTATTAATTAAAATATCAATATTTGGCACCAGTGTATATATGCAGATATAACTGCAGTACAAGATTGAGATGCATTATTTGAATGATTGGCCAAACAGATGTGTCTTTAATCTAGATTTAAACAGAGAGAGTGTGTCTGAACCCCGAACGTTATCAGGAAGGCTATTCCAGAGTTTGGGAGCCAAATGTGAAAAAGGTCTACCTCCTTTAGATTTTCAAATTAACATTAGTGAGTTAATAAAAAGCTGATAAATAATTCATCATAAAAATGTAAACTTAAAATAATTTTAAATCAAAACACTTACTAAAAAGAAAAAAATATTTACATGCAAATATGAATCAGCATGAACTGTAGTGTTTTTAATAATCTTTTAAATATTTGTTTTATATATATATTTTCAGTTTTCATTTTCGTTTTAGTTCAAACTTTAGCGGTTTCGTTTTGGTAAAGTTTTTTGTCATTTTTGTGTGTTTATATATATATATATATATATATATATATATATATATATATATATATATATATATATATATATGTATATAAATGACCAAACTATCTGTCATGAATTCAGCCCATGGACTTCCGTTTATTCACCACCAGAGAAGTCATTTTTGCAGTTTCTGTGATATGGTGGGGCCTGAAACCTGACTGAAATTCTTCATAAAGATATTTTTGCAGGAACTAGTACAATTGCGCAGACATAACATTTTCTAAAATGTTAGACATAAATGGAAGATTTTAAATGGGTCTGTAATTTGCCAGTTCATTAGGATCTAATAACCACCAGCTTGAATGGTTTTGGATGTGACCTAGAGATAACTATGAGGTAATAATATAAATAAATGATAAATAAATAAAAAACTATATATTTCCCCACAAAAATCAATGTAATAGCAAACTTAGCACGTTTCTGTTTGCCATTGTTTGACCCTGCCTGTTTACCACTTCTCTCTAATAAAAGCTTGCAGATGGATCCACACGTCTCACTTCTCGTCAGCCCTGTTACACTATCATTAAGCAAAGAAGAAGAATTAAATATACCCATAGGCAGAGTGTGAACCAACAAGGCGGTTGCATACTGGACGAGAAGTGCAGCGCCGCACTGCATCTAGAACAGTTTGTAAAACAAGTACAACACGACGTAGCTTGGCTCCACCGATGTGTGTACACTCAAAGAAGCCAGCAGAAAAAATAATCCGCAAACGGTCAAATGCAGGGCAAAACCTCCTCAAGAAAATATTTACTATAATGTTTAATCAGAGGCCGTAAAAAAAGTGCAAAAAAGTGTCTGTTTAGACAAGTACCTGATATGATGTCAGGAAATATTTTAATACAACTGAATTTGTACTTAAAGTGATCATAACTCAAAAACATTCTAAGTTACAAATTATAACGCTTTAATTTACATAGTTATTCAAACAGATGAAGGGGTCATAGGTATAGGTCATAAACCCCACTCTCTCCATGTAATCTAATTGGACGTGAGACAAACTAAAGAATTAAATTACACTTCAAATATTTTTATCATGCTGATGTAAGTTCAAGTGTTCATTTTTATAAATAATTTTGGTTTTAGTTAGTTATTTGATGCTATAAAAATGGGAGAGTGACGTCATGTTTGATCGCTGACAGTATACAATATGTTAATATGTGTCACTTTTCAAATATGACTCTGTGGTTAGTAATTGTATTTACCTTATTTTAACAAGCCTCTTGTCATACTGCAATCAGAAGACATCAAAATTGGAGCAGTCAGGCTTCAATAATGTTCAGGGGCGTGTGCTTGTGATTGACTCTGCGGGCGGGACCTTGATAATGTGGCTCCACTTCGCAAAGAGTAGCATTATAACATAACTTTCATCACACTCATATGTGTATGATAAAACAGTCCTGCTTTACCATAGACTGTATAAAACAAAGGTGTTGTTTCAAACTACGCCTTTGATTCATTGTTTGTTTTGAATATGCGCGCTCTATTGGTGAAAATTACATACTGTGCTTTTAACTAACTTACTAAAATGTAATTATTATTAAATATTAGATAAATTGTTAAAACAAGTTGCATGCTTGTAAGAAACACATTTTTTTTTTTAAATTTGATTTATTTTCAAACTGTTGCTTTTGGCTAAAACGTGAGTCCATGATTTGTAATAAAGCTTCCTCCAGTGATAAAGATATTTTAATTTATGTTTCTGATAAATACTGCTGAAATCATTAAAGAAGTCAATTAATCGCTAAAGATATATATATATATATATATATATATATATATATATATATATATATATATATATATATATATATATATATATATATAAAAACTAATGTGAAATCAAGATGTAAAAGTAAAGTATTATTTTAAATCAGTCTGAAAGGTGTCAGTTGTTGATATCCATTTATCATCAGCACGTCTGAATGATGTCATTGAGAAAGTGTCCATGTTTGTGCACCTAAAGTTAAATCTAAACATTAAGAGTAATTTACCACTTTGATTTATATTTTCTCCTCACCTCATAATTCAACATGACCTCCATTCATGAACTGTGATGAATGGTTCAGCACTCTTTTAATTAAACCAATCTGCTTTTAAATTGAGGGTGCCATTAAATTTATTGGTAAAAAAAAAGAATTAATTAAAAATATATATAGTGAAATTTGAAAAGCTGTTTTCAATTAATCTAAAGTTCCCTCTCTATTTCTCCAATAATTATTTCACTCTCATGTTCATTTCTGTTTATTCAGTTGCCCTGTTGATGTATTTAATTAGAAATGGAATGAACAACAAATGGAAACATTATTTGTATAGAAATATTGCCATGTAAAAACATCAAAATACACAGAAGTGAGTTTTCTAGCACAATTTTATCTTTTGGCTTTTGTTGTTGCTTTAAATGAATTAATGAATTAATGAAAGTTGCCTTAGTGTTTAATGGTCTTAAACCATAATGTCCTCTGTGACAAACACCTTGGACGCCACAGTGCCACTGTATTTATTTTCAGGCTTTGTTGCTCCATCAGTTTAGTAGCTTCGTGAGTGGTCATTAATTACAAAGGTAATTTAGAAAATGCATAAATTTGTCATCCAAGGTTAATGACACAGTGAATATAATTTTCTCCATAAAATAAGTTATGTGAGTGTGTGCTTATCCTAATGGATATGCTTCCCACACTGCAAAAAGTGCAAATGTCCATCTTAACGAGCTGTTTCACTAAATAAAATAAAAATACTAATAACAAATAAATTTACTTTTGTTGGTGTGACCTAGTCAGGTTGATTTAGGTTGAATATAAACCATATTTATGGGGGAGACCGAGTATGGTTGTAACACTTTTTATTTCAGCATCTATAACTCGCTGAATGTTTGAGCTAGAGGGCTCAAACTTTTATACAAAGCACCAACATTTGTTTTCTACAAAAGGCACCAATTCAAACCTCTGCAAAAATATCACAACCCTTTTAAGCTGATGTCAAATGCATGGTGTGCCATTGTTACAATCTACCCCACTGCTGGGGTAGGTTGTAACACATGATGGGGTAAGTTGTAACAATTAGTCAAAAGAAGCAAAAACAGCAGCTACACCATGAAGTATGCTTCAAAAACAGGTTTATTGGAATTATCTAAAAGAACAATACAAAACAATGTCTCACTTTCTGTGACTGACCACTGCTCAAATCCACTTTCTGTTTGATGCAGGTGGGTGTGTGTGTGTGTAAATAAAGTCGACTACTAGAACAAATGTCCTTAATGGTATTATGCTTAATGAACATTCAACTCCAGTGCACCTAGGTAAAGTACATGTCTAACAATAAACTGTGTAGGTTTGTGTGTGAGATTATGTTTATGTATGAATAGACATAATTCATGTCAATTTAAAAAAAGATGCCGGCGCGTGCATTCACTGTGGCTTCTCTCTCTCCCGTCAGAACGGTGTTTTCGTGTTTTTTTTCTTGTGAGTCGCAGTGTTTTCGTATGTCTTCATCACATCTACCTGTCTCTAATCGCGCATACAGTCGTGAGTTTCTGCTCGATGTCGGCAGAACCACATTTTTAGAGTTAAACTCTGCGCACGCCAAAGAGCTGCAGGATCTCGGTCTGCTCCAGAGGCCTACACCATCACCGACCCCCACTACTGCATCTCGCCCACAGCGGAGGCGTCACAAGTGGTGTGAGAGGAAGCAGAAGAGGGGTAAGCGCGGAGGTATCCGGGCTAGGCTAATGGCTAACCCACACAAGCCAGCTATCCCCACCATCGTACTGGCTAACGTATGCTCTTTGGACAATAAACTGGACTACATCCGACTACTACGCTCAACTCAGAGGACTGTAAGGGACCGTTGTGTTTTTGTGTTTACAGAAACATGGCTCAGCAACAGCGTTCCGGACTGCGTTATTCAGCTCGATCAGCTAACATGCTATCGAGCGGACAGAGTTCTCGTGCGGGCTTTGTGTTTACATCAATGATGCGTGGTGCCACGATGCTGCTGTGGTCTGCAAACACTGCTCAACCCTGGTGGAGTTTATGATTATTAAGTGCCCTACCCCTCCCCCACATCGGTGCCTCAGACCACATCACTGTCTTGCTAATGCCTGCATACAGACCGCTCATTAAAGTCACCAAACCAGTTCACAAACAAATACAAGTGTGGCCGGGAGGGTCGTCAGAGGCTCTTCAAGACTGTTTTAACACCACTGACTGGAATATGTTTAAGCAGGCTGCCACATACAATACCTCCAAAGACCTCCAAGAGTACTCAGAGACTGTCACTGCCTAATTCACCAAGTGTATTGATGATGTAACAGTCTCAAAGACCATCACTGTCCGGGCCAACCAGAAGCCGTGGTTGACAGGGGAGCATACGTCAGAATGCTGTTCACAGACTTCAGTTCAGCATTCAACACAATCATCCCTCAACAGCTCATTCACAAACTGGTCCAGCTGGGGCTCAACACTTCGCTGTGCAACTGGCTATTGGACTTCCTGACTGGGAGACCTCAGGCAGTACGGGTCGGCAGTAACACATCCAGCACCATCAAATTGAACACTTAGGCCCCCCAAGGATGTGTGCTGAGCCCCCTCCTCTTCACTCTGCTGACAACACGACTGCACACCGTCACACAAGTCCAACCTCTTCATTAAGTTTCGGATGACACGACTGTGGTGGGTCTCATTAGCAACAGAGATGAGACAAACTACAGGAGGGAGGTGAGCCGCCTGGCTGGGTGGTGCAGTGACAACAATCTCTCTCTGAATGTGGAGAAGACTAAGGAGATTGTTGTTGATTTCAGGAGAGTGTGCACTCAGCATGCTCCTCTGACCGTCAATGGTGCGACTGTGAAGAGAGGGAAGCAGCACCAAGTTCCTGGGTGTGCACATCACATCACCCATCCTCACCATGATCTACAGAGGGACTATCCTGATAGCATACTGAGCAGCTGCATCACCGCCTGGTTTGCGAATTGCACCACATCGGAACACAAGACCCTTCAGTGGATAGTGAGGACAGCTGAGAAGATCATCGGTGTCTCTCTTCCCTCCATCATGGATATTTACACAACACACTGCAACCTCAAAGTTATGTGTGTATTACAGATGTTTAAGTTACATGTGACTGCACTGTTAGGATTGCTCAAATTTCACTATACTTGTATAGTGACAATAAAGAAATCTTGAATCTTGAATCGTGGTCGATCACACACACCCCTCACACCCACTCTTTACCCTCCTGCCATCTGGAAAAAGGTACCGAAGCATTTGGGCCCTTACAGACTGACTGTGTAATTTCTTTCCACAATCCATTTGACTTCTCAATACAAAGGTACTAAACTAACACACACACAAATTCATGTAAAATGTTTGCTCAAATAGCAAAAATTATTTTTTGCACTATTTATCGCTGCTACACAACAAATGTTTACATGTATGGTGTTTATTATTATATGGTCAATTCATGTGTAATATCACACATTTACTGCACTGGTCAGTGTTGAAATGCCGCTATGGTTATTGCCCCACTGTCCCACCTGTATTGTTTGCACTAAATGCTTAAACGTACACTTTATTTAGGTTTTTAGTGCTGTGTGTTTCTGCACTCTTGTATTCATTTGTTGTTTGATGTTAATTTATTGTGTTATCTTTTTTGTTATCAATACGGCTTTTAGTTCTGCATAGCACCTTGGTTCTCGAGGAACATTGTATTTTTTCACTTTGTATTGTACTGTATATGTTTGAAATGACAATAAAAACCTATTTGACTATTTGTTGAAAATGAACATGAACTAAATATTATCTCCGATAGTCAAATGGGATTCACTGTGCTACATGTTACATTTGTTAATTGATCAAAAATAATATAATTATAATATTTTGATATAATTTATTTGCAAAACATTTAATAACAAATCCTGTATTGCTAAAAATACATAATCTATGATGTTATATTCCTTAACTACACTGATCAAAATTAATATTAATAAATCAGATTATGCATTTTTATCATTTTAGGTATTGTTATTAAAGGTTGTACACATAAATCTTATCAAAATCCATGCAAAATAGCTCTTATAAATGTAAAAAAGAACAGTACGCTACAAAACTGTAGCTTTAAACTGGTGTGACTTTAAAAAGACCAGATACATGGTTCGCCTCACTTCCGGCCTGAAACGGGTGGCCTGGATCACGTGTCCTGAAACATGTGGTGCTGCGGGGCTGCAGCCGGATATATCTTGTCCCCATGACACTCGCTGTGATAAATACTGCAAGCAGAGTGATATAAACGGTGAAACGGTTGGTGTTCAGATATCACTAGAATATCGCATGACTGGAAAAGGCTCTCAGCCAATCAGATTTGAGGACCAGAAAGAACTGTTGCATATAATATAATGTATTGTAATGTAATATAACGATAAAGTCATTAACATCAGTGGCATCATTATTATTGTATTGAAAAATATATTCTTCAAATGAATGTTACTTTTGTGAAAAGTAAAATGGGATTAAACACGTAAACACATTAAAACACAAAATCATGTAGGTGAGTGTTTGTCTGCACTATTCAAACATTATCTATTCTATTCTATTATAGTGGGTATATCTACCCCCCTTTAAAATAATGACATTTTGTTGCTTTGCTGCCTGAAATGACAATGGACACTGTTTTTGTTTTATCCAGCTGTATTTACTCAGTGCAACTTAGCATCCAAGTGAAAGATGTAACACCAACATGTCAGAAAATAAATAAATAAACAGAACCACTGTTTGGTCAGTTTTTCTGTGTGCTGTTGGGTCATGGTCTTGGTGGAAGGCAAACCTTCTTCCCACTGACAACTTTCTGGCAGAGGGCAGCAGATTTTCCTCAATAATTTGACAATATTTTGCCCCATCCATTTTTCCTTCTATCCTGACAAGTGCTCCAGTCCCTGCTGCAGAGAAACACCCCCATAACAGGATATTACCACCTCCATGCTTTACTGTAGGCACAAACTGATTGTTGCAGCAGCTGTCCGGGTGGCTGGTCTCAGATGATCTTGGAGGTGAAGATGCTGGATGTGGAGGTCCTGGGCTGAAAAATCCTCTTTTTTCCACCATCATCATTCACGTGGTTAAATAAATGCATGTTCACATCACTAAAATCACTATCATTCTCAGATTGCAGGCTTAAGCCCTTCAGCCACAGTTGACATCTTGTTTGGACATGAGCCCAACATAATCGCTGCTCCGAATCTCAACTGACACATAAAAAGACTATGTCAATTTTGTCTTCTCTGGCTGAGATCACCATTAAAAGCTCTGTGCCACTTGATGTTGTTGTGTACACTTGCTTGGAGTGCAATAATTGCAGGCATAAAACTCTGCACGCTTTTGATGCCAGTTTACACCGCGCTTGTGCTTACTTCATTTTTTATGTTGCTTCTGGGCCCTAATTCACAAGCCTTGTGACTCATTACAAACTATTGATTTTGAAAAACAATGATAAGGACTAAGCCACTAGATGAAAAATAAGCTATTAAAAGATGTTCTTAATTCTTCTTCTTTGTTCTTAATTGAATCGAGCATTGCTGACAAAACCATCAGCAAGCTCTCCTCTCATCTAGAAGCTAGAATTATAAGAATTTGCACCATTTATCTTGGGAGTGACTTTGGTTTATAATAACCTCAGAGAATCAGGTAGGTCAATGCTAGGATACCATGGTAAAATGAGAGTGATGAAAGTGTTTAAGTGTTTGAGATGCCGGATTCAGTCAGTAAATACACTTAGTTTGAACCCGAGCTGTCGGTTATACCTGATAGAACTGCATTGATATAATGGCATGAGTGTGCATTTCTTTCTTGAAAGCCTGAAGGTTATTATTTTGAAAGAAGTCAGTCTCAGCAGTCTTCAGTATGGTAATTATTCAGAAATATTGGTGATTTTTCAGGTGTGAAGGTATTGATGAAAAAGGAAGGAAATCTAAATGTGGTGTTTCAATAGCTGCAATGCTTGCATGAATAGCTTTGAGTTGAAATTTGCCAAGTGGTTAAATTGCCAAGGGTTCAACATCAAAAGTTTGTGTGCATTTGACCATATGAAATAAAAAAATATGCCTTTTTATAAATGAATGAATAAATAAACAAATAAATAAATAAAATTAAAAAACAACATCAATTCAATATAATAATAATAATAAGAAGAAGAATAATACATTTTTATTATTGATTTGTATTAGAAAAATATGATAACATTGTTTTAATATAAAATATATTGACAATGTACAGTATATATATATATATATATATATACACACACATACATACATACACACATACATACATACACACACACACAATAATAAATATTATTTTAAAGGGTTACTCTGACTAAAGATTTATATTTATATATATTTTTAAATAATTTCATTATTTATTGTTAATTATTAATTTTAACATTTATTGTGATCAAATACATAAAACAGGTTAAAATAAACATGTTATTTCAGTAGCTTCATCCTTGCCTGAGTAGATTTGAGTTTGCTTAGGTTAAATTCCCAAAGGTTCGACATCAACAGTTTTCATGTATGAAAATTAAACCTGAAATTAATTAATAATAAGTTATGCATTTTAATAATTAAAATAAAAAAATCTATAAAATTCAACAACAACAATAATTTATAATTCCATTATTTATATTTTGTATTAATTTATTATTATTATTATTATTTGAAAGGGTTAATCATATATTTTAATATTATTGTTGTGTATACGCACACACACAGACTTGATGACTAGATGGAACTGTCAGTTTCTGAACAGTTTTCTAAGTTCCCAAATCTTCACATTTCCAAAGATGACATAATAACATAAAATAATCCCATTGGTCTCAGATTAGCAACATAGGAAAAACTGTGCCTATATCGCCAGTTCCCTTCGATCAATCAGGAACAAATTTGCTGATTAATCATGTGAAATCCTCCTGCAGTACATCATGTGGGCTAGCTATCCTGCCAGCCGGGCTATTGATTCAGTCTGTGCTCAGTCTTGACCTTCCAATTTCTGTACATTAATCACTTTCACAACCATTTTGTCCAATAAAAGCATTTTAATTTTCATCTCATCCACACTTGAGATGTAATATAGTTTACGTCCCGACTTTAGCCTGCAAAAATATCCTTCACTGATTTCCTCTAAAACCCTCTCGATATGA